ACAAGGAGGATTTACGCGCTCGAAAGTTAGGGCGCAAAAGAGGAAATACGGTAACTCGGCGCTCGCTCTGCTCGCTGCTGGAGCTCACACACTAAGCCTGCGCCTGCCGCGGGCGGGTTATTTGCGGGAACTTGGGTGGAGTGGAGCGGCCCAGGGCTCCGTGTGCCTTCCTCACGGGCGAAGCTGTGGCTGCTGGGGAGGAGGGCGATCTCCTCTGAGGTCTGGCTTTCTTTGTCGCTTCAACCGTCTTGACTCGTTTCCTAGACTAGAGCCATTAACCTCGCTGATTAACCTCCCGGAGCTGGCTAGAAAGGACAAGGAAGAGATAGGCCGAGGTTGCCGAACCCTCTCATGCAGTCCCAGGCTGGGTCTCCCAGATCTGCTGGGTGGCAACCAGTCCCTTGGATTCCAAGTGGCTGTATGAGAACTGGGGAGCCGCGGAAGTCCACCATCCTCCATTTCAGAAGAAATCAAGGAGAGGGGTAACCTGCCAAAGGCCCCACAGTGAACCCGGGAGCTGTGCCAGACTCTCAAGTGTCTGGGGTTCCAACTTCTTGGCTATCCTAGCAACACTGGAGACCCCCATGGTGCCAGAGGAGTTGGGGAACTTCAGTTCCACCTTTACCAGCTCTGTGTTTGAGCTCTTCCTCTCCGAGGTGTCTCAGTTTCCTTTTCTATTTAAAAAAAAAAAAAAAAAAAAAAAAAAAAAAAAAAAAAAAAAGAATCGCTCTTGCCTGCCTTCCTATCTTACAGACGGACAAATGATTCAAGAAAAAGCAGCAGCTGCTCTTGACCAACGCGGCACTGTCCTGGACTCCTGGCATCAGGCCTTGCGTCCTCCCAGCTTTGAAAAGCACGCCACCTCTCTAGCCATTGAGAATGGCGGGATTAGAGGGAGGGAAAGGCCAGAGAGGATCCGTCAGGCCCGAAAGGAGCCCCAGCACAAAGCCACGGTGTCTGCCCTGCCCCAGGGACTCCGGGGTCAGTGACAGGGGCCTTGGAGGAGAAGGAGCAGGGAGAGCGGAAGTCCCCACTCCGAGGCCCCACTTCCCCCTCCCCCGGCCAGCCCCGGGGCAGGTGAAGAGAGACCGGGCTCTGCTCCAGGTGGCGAGGCACAGACGGGGGTGGGGGAAGGCCCGGCAACAATAGCACTTTTATTTGGGACTGTTGGGTTCAGAGCGGGTGGGCGGAGGAGGAGGACGCCGACCGGGCCGCGGGGGAGGGGACCGGCCGCAGCATCTGGCTACACACCTGCTCCTGCTTAACCCTGTGCGTGCTGGGCGCTCGGTTGGCGGGGGCGAGCTAACCAAGACTCCAGCTGGGGGACACCTCCCTTGGGCCCTTGGCCAGGTTTGGAGATCTCCAAGAATAGGAGCAAAAGGGATCCCTATAAAGACAGAGCTTCCGATGCGCCTAGCTGTGCCCTTGGCCCTGCGTTGGGACCCCGGTGGGACGCAGCAGGCTGCAGAACAAATCCGAGTGGCCTTTGGGGGAGGCGAAGACTCCCTGGCGTCCTACGGCCGTTCCGGGAAGCCGGCCTTCCGGAGGCGTTGTGGCGCCCAGGGCCATGCCAGGCGGGGCAGCTCTGCACAGGGCACAGCCCATCGCGCGGCGCGCTTCCCAGCTCGGCGCTGCAGGTGAGCCGGGTGCCCCCGCACACTAACCCCGGACTGAGACTCCCGGGCGCCCCCTGCCGGCGGGGAGGCTCGAGCCCGCGCTGCACCTGCCCGCACCCGGGACACACACCCTACTCCACCCCCACCCCCACCCAGCCGCCTCCTCCCATGCCCGCAGGCCCACGGTGCCCCCCAGGCTGGCCCGAGGCCTGGCATGCTGACTCGCTGCACAATCCGAGCTTGTTTGTAGGCGGAGGAGCTGAGCCGGGTGCGGCGGCCCTGAGCCAACCCACTGATCCCATAAAATATTATTTGTGTTTAAAAATTCCAGTAATTGGCTATGCAGCCGCTTTTTCCGAGCCCCGTGCCAAGCGCAGTAAAAATTCTCACTCCGGCCGGAGTTATTCTCATCATGCAAATTCCCATTTTCTGTAAACAGGGTTAAAACGTTTGGAAGGCATCTCTCTCTCTCTCTCTCTCTCTCTCTCACACACACACACACACACACACACACACACACACACCGCCGCCGCCGCCGCCGCCGCCGCCGCCGCCGCCGCCGCCGCCACCACCACCACCACCACCACCACCACCACTCTCCGCAGCTGCAACCAAAGAAGAAAAGTTAGAAGGACGTTGGTCAAACTGGTATCGATCCTGGGATTACCTTGGTAATCGGAAAGCATATTTCAAATAGTTCCCCCAATCGATATCCCTTGAAGACCAGAGCCTGAACTCCTGGGTAAAGCTCCCATTTCCTCAACTTTCTCCTCTTCCCCTAGCTGAATAACAGACATCATTAAATAATGGAATTGTAATTCTTTTCTGTTAAAGAAAAATGTTTAACTTCTTGTGAGGGGGTTGTCAGAGGACAGTTTGCAGGAGCCACCAGGTTTTGCCTTCCACACTATGGGTTCCTAGAATGGAACTTAGGTCATCGGACTTGGCAGCAAGGGTTTTTACTCACTGAGCCATCCCGCCAGCCTCTTTCTCCTCTTTTATCATAGGAGCAAACTGAGCCCAGAGACGACGACAGCTTTTTCAAAGTCACATAGTAAACGTGCGCCAGAGCTCAGGCCCGCACAGGTTGCCCCACTGCCCAGCCATCAGGACCCCTGCGGTAGAAGGCTGAAGCAGGTGTCCAACGCCTCTGGGGCAGAGCCCCACATCCTCCCAGGGCAGAGGCTGACTGACTCTAGGCAAAATAACTGAGTGCGGGGGGAGGGGGGGACTGTAACTCTCGAAGTGCCCACTTCCTGTCCTTGCCTGGAGGGAGGAGGGGGGAGCCCCAAGCAGGGCCTTGGAAACCCTGAGTAATGGACAGGAGCCTCTGCCCGACCCGCCCAGAGTTGGTTGCTGTAAGCCGGCTACTGAGAAGGGAAACTACTCACGTGGGAGGGAGGGATTGTTTTTAAGCAGAGGCAGATGGGAAACAAAATTCTGAAGTTGGTAAGGGAGGTAGAACTCGGAAGAAAATATATAACACTATGTTGCGGGTAATATGTATTATTTGCAATATCTGAGGACCCTCTATGTGCCAGACACTACTTTGTATTAGCATCGTGTAACAAGTCGGAGAGATGGAAACTGATTTGCTTCCCATTCTGCAGATGAAGATATTGAGGCTCTAGGAGATGAAGTCAGTTGCCCTGGGTCCTGGTAGGAAATCCCAAGTGTTCACACCCACTTCCTCATACTTACCCCTCCCCCTAGCCCTTGTGGGGTTCCTTCTTTTGCCCTGGATGTTCCTCAGCCTCCCAAATCATTCACCCCTAGACCTTTCTTCTCACTGAGGATTCCCTAGATAGGCAGGCTAGCTGGAGTGCTGAACACAGTCTCCTAACTCTAGTCAATGAAAACAAGGAAGACACCAAAAGAACCACACAGGAATACTTGGTAGTCCCTCTCATGCATACCCCCAAGCCAGTCACACCCTAAAGCTCCAGAGTCAGAGGCTATGAAGTGGGGTTTCAGGTCACCAGTAGTAGCATTTCAGCACCAACTGGAGGACCTTTGTGCGGAGATCTTGCCAGTTCCTCACTTCCCTGCTCACAAGTCTGCTCCAAGCCTTTAATTCCAACTCTACTACTGTAGAAATTCAGTTCCTCCATGCCTGGTATTCCAGTCCTCGGGAGGCTGAGGCAGGAGGATATTGAGTTTGAGAACAGCCTGGGCTAACAAAGAGACCTTGTCAAAATCAAAAAACAAGCAAACAATCCACGCCCACACCAGATTCTTGTCCAATTGGATGTAGTGAACATGAAGTTCTTTGTCAATCTCTAGGACACTCTCAGTGCTGGGCACAATGGTACCTGCCTAAAGGTGGAGGCAAACAGATCGTAAGTGCCAGACTAACCTGGACTACATAAGGAGATTCAGCCCCCAAAACAACCAGGCACGGTGGCACATGACTTTTATTCCAGCACTTGGGAGGCAGAGGCAAGCAGATTGCTGAGCTTGAGACCAGCCTAGATTAGTAGAGAGTTCCAGAACAGCCAGGGCTAACTCATGAGACACTTGAGACCAGCCTAGACTAATAGAGAGTTCCAGGACAGCCAGGGCTACATCATGAGACATTGTCTCAAAAAAAAAAAAAAAAAAAACCTACAAAACCAACCAAGCAAAAATGAAAAGTGGGGAATATGGAAACTTATTCCTACAATCCCCCAAATTTGGCAGGCCAAAGCTGGAGGACTGCTGTAAGTTTGAGGCAGTTTGGATTGCAAAGTGAGTTGGAGGCCAGACTGGAAGATTATCTAAATAATTAAATAAACAGATAAAGGAGCAAATACAGATCTTGTGGTGAGCCAGATGGATTCAGGAAGTGTGGAAGCTCCTTGTCTGTCTCTAACTAGAACTAGCATCAAGGTACAGATATCTGGGGTTGCACCATCAGTGGCAGCAGGCAGGTGGGCAGTTCCTAGAGGTGTGATGTCTGCAGAGGGGTGGAGACTCTTCTTAAGGGAAAAAGAACACGACAAGGGAAAAAGCCTGGTGGATGCTAGCATGGGAAAGTAGACAAGGAAAGCCGGCGGTCCCAGAGCACCTGGTGACCTTATCCGGTTCCGGTTACCTCCTTACTGCCCCAGCTTGACCCTTCTTTCCCAGAATTGCACGGAGCCGCTGCTAGGGCCTGGAAATAGGGTCCAGGGATGTGGGAAGAATTTCTTTCCTACCCATCTCCCTGTTAGCTCCAGGGTAACCCACTCTCCCCTGACTCCAGAGAAGGAGAGAGGGGGTCCCTAACTGAGCTGTGGACTCTGTCTGTGATACCATCCATCACACAGCATCTGGAGAGATGGAAGTAGAATGAACAAGGCCAGAGAGCCTAACAAACCAGATTTGGTGAGGACACTGTGACTCCTTTGGGCTGTGACTCACAAGGATGATGTCACAATGGGTTTGGAGGTGTGGCTCTTACTTTTAAACTGAGGTAAAGCAGCTCTCCCTCACATTCCCTTCCCTTTTATTCCTGAGTGGATAGGATGGAGTGGCATGGGCCAGTCCCACAGCCTGTCGTCCACTGGGCAAATGACTTTGGAGGTCCGTCTCAAGGACAGACGTGAGCGGAAATGATCACTAGCCCAAATCTATACAAAGCTATTGTTTAGGAATTTATATAGTCGTGGAAGAAAGCTCAATGGCTCACTAAGGCACTGAGTAAGCGCCCCTGACATGCCAGGTACAAACTTAGGTGGTGGTGGCGGCCTCCGAGAGGAAGGAGGGGCTGAGGGACCTACCCAAGGTATCTGCCTGTCAAGGTGATGCACGGTCCAGGTTCTGGGCTGCCTCTGCCTAACTGGTAGGATTTTTGTCAGGCAGAGGGACAGAGATCCAGGTATGGTGTCTCAAACCTGTGATCCCAGCACTTGGAAGACTGCACCAGCCTGGGGAATCATGAGTTTGAGGCTAGCCTGGGCTACATAGTAAGACACTGTCTCAAAAAAAAAAAAAAGGCAAGGGAGGCCGTCAATATATTCTAAGTGCCAAGATCAGCATCCAAAAAGCCTGGCATGGGTAGACCTAAAGCAGAAATCTGGGGTGAGAGGGTTAGCTAGGGAAGGTGGGGGTAATTCAGGGAGGGGATGCGATTTTTCCCCAACCCTGAATCCGTCAATCCTGGATTCCCTTCTTCATGTGAGGTTCCTACCACCCCTATTTTTTAAGAGGAAAGATGGGTGAATTCCATCTTCAATCCTGTGCCCAAGATCCCACCCGTGGAGGACATTTGGGACAAAGAAAAGGAAGAGGAGGAGGAGGAGGAAGAGGAGGAAGAGGAGGACACCATAGACAAAGAACAAGAGAAAGAAGAAGCAAACAGGTAAGCAGGACATCACACTTTACTGCTGCCTCCTCCATCCCTCCAGCACTGGCTCCTACCCTCTGTCCAGCTCCCTGGAGATCCTCAGTCTGTGACCTCTCCTGTGACCTCTGCCCCTCCTGTATCTCCTCCTCTTCCCTGACGCCATTTCTCCTTCCTATTTTGCTCAGGATCAAGACCCTCCTCGGAGTACCCAAGCAGGACTCGGTGTGGGGCCTGATGGCTTGGCCCAGGCTCCCTCCAGAGCCAGCCTGGTGGTGGGAAGACTTTTCCCTGCCCCCACTCCGTGGACCCTGCCTCTGCCGGTGCAGACTGAGGACAAAGATGAGGCTCCACCCCCTGCCTTCCCTGGCCTCCTGCTCCACCTCCAAAACCTTGCCCTCACTGGCAACCAGAGATGAGCCCAGCTGGCTAAGAAACCAGTCTCTGATGGAGCCTCCACCAGCTACCAGACTGAAGACCCCCAAGGCAGTGCAAAGGCTTCATGCCAAGGTCTCCCCTAAGAGATCTACTGTCCCCAAGTCCGGGCGACAGCAGACCCCGATGTCAATGTGGCCTCCAATTATTTTAAACCCTCCCTCCAAGAGCTCTGCTCTTAAGGGACAACACACATCCTCTGCCAAGGAGGCCTCCCATACCCCAGGTGCCTGGAGCAATCCCTTGCCTCACCTTCCTTCAAAATAAATATTTTTGTTACACCAGCAACAGTCTAATGCAGTTCTGGGCACTTTTAGATATACCAGCTCATGTAATCCTCACAGTATTTCTAAAAAATCAAAGCATAGGTCAGGTTTCCCCCCACCCCACTCCCGACAGGGTCTCCTGTTGCCCAGGCTGATCTCAACCTTGCTATATAGCCAAGGAAGACACTGAACTTCTGATCCTCCTGCCTCCCTCTGGAATGCTGGGATTACAGGCATGTCACCATGCCCAGGTTTACGGTCTGAGCTACAGCCTTAGCCTTCATTTACATCACTCCTGAATGGGAGATTTCACTCTCGTTTATTCATTCAATTATTTATGTCAGCGTGGACTCAGGGACATTTATGTTACACTTTGAGTATTTAATGCTAATGTGTTTATCTGGCTGCTCAAGTTGTTCCTATGGGTCCTGGGGGCTGCTGTTGTTGCGTCCAGTGTCCCTTTGGCATACTCTTGTCAACGTGAGCTTTGACAAAGAGGAACTTCTTTTGCCTTGCTTCACTTAAGTGCTTCCATGTGGGCTGCAACTATAAAGCACCAAGAAGCTGGGCCTGTGGCACATGCCCATCATCTCGGCACTTGGGAGTTAGAGGCAGGAGGACTGCCACAGGTTCCAGGCCGGCCAGGACTACCTAGGGAACCTCTGTCTCAAAAGAAAGCAAAAGCTAGTGCTCAGAGCTCACTGCCGACTTTGTGACTGTTCTGCCCTGGTCTAGAATCACCTGTCTCTCCAAGGTACCCTGCTTCCTCTTACTGGAAGCCTAGATGTGGGGATTAAGTGTGTTTACTACTACTACAGTCAGAAACTTGTATGTGTGCAGGTACTCTCCGTGTGTGCGTGTGTAAGTGGAGGCCAGAGAACAACCCCAGCTATCATTTCTAAGATGCTACCTACCTTCTTTCTTGTCTTTTCTCTTTCTTTTTTAAAAGACAGAGTCTCCCACTAGCCTAGAAATTGCCAATTTGGCTAGACTAGCTGGCTAGTGAACTCCAAGAATTCACCTATCTCTGCTTCACCAGTTCAGATTATACACTCCCGTCACCATGCACAATGTTTTTGTTAGTCCTGGGAAACTGGCATGAATTCACCCTGAGTTGACAATGGAAGAAGCTGAGCTCTGAGAGAGAGGCTAAGGACACCTGTGGTTCTGTAGCTCCCAACGTGCACAGCAGGGCCCGGCTGAGCCCACCCTGGATGGAGCCAACTCACTCTCAGAACTAAGTATGGCCAATGAGCATCAGCTCCCCAGCCTGCCCAGCTCTTTACCTTAAGCGTGACTCTCCTGCACCCAGCTCCCTGGCTGCCAACCCTGGTCAGTGAGTGACAGCCAAGGAAAGATGGGAGGGTCTGGCGAGAGTGTGGGTCCCTGGTGTCCTCCTGGTTGGGCAGAACGGGCGGTGGCTGTGTCCCTGTGGCAGCATGCTGTGGGTAAGCCCCCTTCTCTGAATTCCACGGCTTCCCATCCTGATGCCCTGTTGGTACACACCCTTCACTCCCTCGGACCTCAGTCAGCTCTGCTGACTCCTCCGGCTCCACTGCGCAGGCTTTCCATTCAACTCACACCCTGGCAGCTGTGTGGACTAGAGACATGGGCTGGAGGCACAAGTTGAGAGCTAAGTGTAAGCTCTAAGTGAACCTTAGAACATGGCTGGGGGAGGAGCACGTGTTTGTACATGTTCACATGCACGTGCGTGTGGAGCCCAGAAGTAGGCATCCGGTGCTTTCCTCGACTGCTCTCCCCTTATTTTCCTTTCTTTTTTAAAATTTTATTTCTTCGGGTCAGCAATATGGCTCAGCCAGTTAAGGTCCTTGCTGGTAAGCTTAATAATTGAAGTTCAATCCCCAGGACCCATTGTGCAGAGAGACAGACTTGTCTGCTGCCCTTCACGTGTGCACCACAGCCCGACTCCCCTCGCTCCCATAAAAGAAACTGTAATAGGAAATGATTACGTTGTTATCAATATTGTGTGTATGCATGTTGTTGGGGGGCACACACACCATGGCACACGCTTGGAGGTTGGGGTACTGCTTTGTCAAGTCGTGTCTCTCTTTTCTCCTTAATGTGGGAGGGATGAACTCAGGTTCCCGGATTTGTACACCAAGCACTTGTACCTAACAAGCCTGCTCACTGGCTCCCCTTATTCTTTGTTTTATGTGTATAGGTATTTTGCCTACGTGTAAGTCTGTGCACCACATGTACGCCTAGCACCTGAGGGGACCCGATGAGAGCATTGGATCCCGTAGGACTAGAGTTACAGACTGTTGTGAGCCACCATGTGAGTGCTGGGAATTGAACTCAGGTCCTCTGGAAGAGCAGCCAGTGCAGACTGATGAGCCATCTCTCCAGCCCCACACCACCCCTCCTCCACACACACACTTATTTTGAGGCAGGGTCTCTTTCTGAGCCGGGAGCTCATTGATCGGCTGGAGTAGCTCAGTGACTCAGTGAGCTCCAAGGATCCCCCTGTCTCCACCTCCAGCACTAGGTCTCAAAACCCCTGCCCTGCTGCATCCAGCTTTTTATATGGACTCGGAAGAGCTGAACTCAGGTGCCCTGCCTGCACCACAAACACTACCCGCTGAGCCATCTCCCTGGCCCACAGCTGAGGTCTCTGAAGTAACTAGAGTTTTCCTTCCCTCTGTCGCTGCCCGGAGCGGTCCTTCCTGCTCCTCCCTGACTAGAGACCATCTCCACCTGGCCTTTGTGCTTCTTGGTGCCAGTCCTTCCTCGCTGTCTCTGTCTTCTCTTCCATCCTCATCTGTCTATCTGTCCCTTCCTCTGTGGGTGACCACCTCCCACCCCGCCAGAGGGTCTCATTGTGTGTCTTTTTCTGGCGTGGTATAGACCAGGCTGGTCTTGAACTCACAGATATGCCTGCCTCTTACTCTCAAGTACTAGGATTAAAGTGCTGCCCCACCACGCCCAACACTGATGCCTGGCTTTTCCTCTTTGTCCATCTCTCGCGCCCACCACCATCTCCGCCTCCCACTGCCCACCATTTTCCATCCTGCCCTCCTCCTAACTTCTGGGCCTGCCTTGTGCTGTCTGCTCTCTCCTGTCCCTGAGTCCGCCTTTGCTCCTAGCTTTCTTCAGGACTTTAGCAAAAGGTAGTGTGTCAGGGCAGGGTCCCGGGAGGACAGCAGCTTCCCCCAGAGTTGGTTCAAGAATTAGGTTGTAATGAGGACTTATAGAAAGGCCGTTTCTGGAGCCCAGAGGAGCTAGGGGAAAAGACACCTCGGAGGCTGGCAGTGCTGAGTGTCAATACTGACAAGGGTCAAGAAGGCACCAGAGCCCTGAGTCCAGCAAAGGCTGGAACCTGCAAGAGTGGAGAGGAGCAGAGGCCTGGAAGGAGCTGCAAACTCCAGGAAGCAGTCTCCCCAGAGACCTCAGGCTGGTTCCACCCCCACCTGCCTACCTCAGTTTTTCCTTTTGGCCACACCCAAGAGAAAGCTGAGCAGTAGCCTCCCTGGGCCCGGACTGAGGTCAGGAGCTGTTGCTGGAGTCATCTCCAGTCCCGCCCGGGCTGGCAGCCACTCAGACTCAAATAAACACGCAGAGACTTATACTACATATAAACTGTATGGCTGTGGCAGGCTTCTTGTTATCTAGTTCTTATATCTTAAATTAATCCATTTCTATTCATCTATAAGTTGCCATGTGGCTCGTGGCTTACCGGTACTTTACATCTTGCTTCTCATGGCGGCAGCGTCTGGCAGCGTCTCCTGACTCAGCCTTCCACCTCCCAGAATTCTCCTCTCTCTTTATCCTACCTACACTATACTTCGTGCCTGGCTACTGGCCAATCAGCGTTTTATTTATCAATCAATCAGAGCAACACATTCACAACATTCACAGCATCCCCAGCAAGGAGCAAGGCAGGGGCAGCCTGGGGAAGGGACAGACAGGGTCACCACTTCCCAGAGACCTGGCTGAGCAAATCCTTCCGTCATCACCCTCCAGGGCAGGCTCCCAAGCCCTCCTGAGCCAGAAAAGCAGAGTGTGATGCTGGGGTAGGAGATCTCAGTGCAGTGCCTTACTGTCATGGCCATACATGGCCCTTCCCCAGACAACCCCTGCTCTGCTCGTGTTTTACTCAGGATTAAATTTATGTGTCAGAAAATCCAAGAGAGTCGTTTCTTAGAAGAGATACAAATTTCTCTCACCATCAGAAGCCTCATACATAAGCAGCTCAGGGGCCTGGCAGGATGGCTCGATGGGTAGATAGCTTGCAGCACATGGCTACGGACCTGAGTTTAAACCTAGAACCCACATAAAGATGAGAGAAAGGACTTCTGACCTCTACTGCAGGCATGCCATGACACATGCACACCCACACTCGCACATCATACACAGACAATTTTTTTAAGCTCAGGGTTGGTTTGGTAATTCACAAAGTCCTCGGAACTCCAGGCAGCTCCTTTTGAGTCATCTTCCCGAATCCATGGCTTCTACCCCACGATCCAATAGGACTCCTCAAGTTCCAACAATCACACCTACGTTTCAGACAGCAGCAAAACATCCTCCAAGGATCCCAACTGACGTGTGAGCATTAGGCTGACTGTGTCAAGGCCGTGCTGTGCTGAGGAAGGTCCTGGAAGACGTAGTCTTTCTTCTGGGGCACATGTACAGCAGAGGGATTACTGGTTCTCATAATAGTAAGGAAGACAAGAACGGATTCTGGGGCCAGCTACTAGCAGAGCACACGGAGGTGCTGCAGGGTTTGGGTGTTCGGAAAATGGGGAACTTAAGCCGCCTCCACCCTGGGCTCCAGGGAGCTTCCTGCATCTGTCTTTCCTTCTGTTGAATGACTCAGTAACAGACACACACTACTGAAGCCACTACCTAGTAACCAAGGCCTGCAATCATCCTTCTGCCCTTCCCTCCTCTATTCCAGAGCAGTCTACAAGCCTTCTCTTCCCTGCAGCTCTCCTGACCCCACCTACTAATGAGCTCTCCCTTTCCTAGCTCCACTATTTCTCCTGGCCCCTCCCACTTCATAGACACCCTCCTGAGCCCTCCTACTTCATAGACCTTCCAATCATGGCAT